TATATATATATATATATATATATATATATAAAATTAACAAGTAATTAATACATTTATTTATTAGAAAAATGTATTCATAAACTATTATAAATATACAGTTATTATTATTATTTTATATAATATAAGTTAATAAAATATATCATCACATATTCACGCATTTTCTAAAATTACCTAGACCAATTTGGCACAATAAAAGCACTCATATTTTGTTTAATGTCTTTCAGAATCAATCAGTTTGCTCTTTGATGCCGTGAACTCTGACAACATCGAAAAGGTATTCATAAATATAATCAATTCCAGCAATACCATACATTAGCTGCATTGCCAGACCTCATGGACTTCTTCTCTGGCCATTCGTGCTCTCAGCTGGTTCAGATGCGTGAAGAAGGAGCAAACCTGTTGGTCCAGGACCGTTTCGGCCGCACCCTCCTCCATCATGCAGTCGTTTTAGGCAGTAAAGAGATTGTGAAGTATATCATTGATAATGGTGAGTCGGTTGGACTTTTGATTTTTGACTTTAGACTTGCTTCTCATTTCTAATTATCTCTCACTGTTTTTGGTGAACAGCTCCGGCCTGCATCCTGGATGTGACGGAGAAATCAACGCAAGTAGTGCTTTAATTTGTGGTGAAAGGAATAAAAGAGTTAGTTTTGACTGACAATCATAATGGTTAGGAGGTGTTTCTCTGTGGTTTTTATTCAGAGGGGAGACGGCCCTGCATAAGGCAGCTGCGTTGTGCCAGAGAACAATCTGCTGTTACCTGGTGGAGGCTGGTGCGTCCCTCATGAAGACCGATCTACAGGTGAGGACATTCAAATGGACCTCATACCTGTACCTTATTTCTTAACATTTCCTTGAATGATTTTTAAACACAAAGTAATCAGAATATGTTTGTATTATTATTTTTAATATGTTCATTGAGGTTTACTTATAATATTAATAAAGTATTTTGCACTAATATGTGTCTGTGTGTAAGTGTTTTGAAACAGTATCCATATAAAACGTCATTTTCAGACAAAGCATTATGAAATTATTTACTTACGGTTTGCGATGCAGTTGGCTATTTCCTCTTACAAAAAAAGGTTTCTCGAACTCTCCATTACACTATGCCTCGTTTACAAAACAATCTGCAGTCAAATGTTCCGAATAAACATATAATTCTCCGGCACGACCCGGGACGCCATTAAAGGGGTCATATGATGCTGCTAAAAAGAACATTATTTTGTGTATTTGGTGTAATGAAATGTGTTTATGCAAAAAAAACAAACAAACAAACATTATTTTCCACATACTGTACATTATTGTTGCTCCTCTATGCCCAGCCTTTCTGAAACGTGTCGATTTTTACAAAGCTCATTGTTCTGAAAAGCGCGGTGTGCTCTGATTGGCCGGCTATCTAGTGTGTTGTGATTGGCCGAATACCTCAACCGTGTGACAGAAATGTTACGCCCCTTACCAGGTTCAGGAAACTTTCCTCAGTAAAATTTCACTGCACACACTCAAATATTTGGGTCGTAGTGTTCTGGAACACTGTTGTAAATAAAAATGAACCACTGATTTCTAGTTGTGTCCTAGAAGGCCAAACAAAGTAGTTTGGCTTTCGCAACGAAACACACAGCGTCTCCACGACATGGCGGCGGCGGCAACAATACTACAGTGAGAATAAAAGTTATGCCTTCTTTCTTTACGTATACATTTGGGCGGTGCTATGCAAATCTGTTTGAATGAGACGTGGCTGAGCGTTCGCCTTTATAAAGAATATCTCTTTGGGCTTGAGACTTTAATCTTTGCGACTTTACAGATCTTCTGTATGCACGAACAGTTCCAAAGACAAAGGAAAACATGAAATCGCATCATATGACCCCTCTTAATATAGGTTTTTACAATACAATAAAATAAAATAGACAAAGATTTTGGATCATTCCTCAACATGGCCATCTATTATTGAGCCAAGAAGAACTTGAGAAATACATCACTTCCTGCACTTAGATTGCAAAATCTGAATATGCTATTCTGGTTAAAATATTTATTTTTTATTTTTAATAGTCCATCTATTTCACAATCCATTGTATAGATCCCATTCTTGCATGGAGAGAGCCATTTTTTATAATCAAAGGCCATTTTTTATAATTGTCATTGATTTAATCAGTTTTATGCAGGAATTTTGTCTGCAATTTTATTGAAATAAACTAACACACAGTTTCAATGACAAGATACAAACTAACTTGGGTGATTTCCTGCCATCTTTTATCCCATGATTTTTAAGAGTAGCATGCAACGCACCATTGAACATGATGTTACCATGACATTTGGCCTGGTAAACTTAACTCCATTGTAAGAGCTTTAAAAGCACATCCTATATACATGACCTCCGTTACAAAATAAATGATGCTCAGTGGATACGCGGAGAGAGCAGCCCACACAAAAGCAGGTTGGGACATTTTCCCGTCCACTGCGTCACGATGTTGACTTATAGTGGGGAGCAGCTCAAGCCCACCGCCAGATAAGTGCACAATCATGTTAAAATCACATAAGTGTTTAGCACGAAAATACTCCACGATACAAAAATACACACAAGGAATACATTCAAAACAGCACTGAAGTATTAATTGAAGAAAATGGTAAATCTTGCGAAATAAGAAGAAAAAAAAAAGGTTTTACAAATAAAATCAGGTTTTACGTGCCGACTAAAACCAGGATTTAGTCAGGCTTATCTCAGGATATAACCGTATGAGAACGCATTCTTAAAAAATGTGCTTCTAGCTTATGAAAATTTTAGCAAAGCGAGATAATGGAAGCACATTAACAGACAGGAAATGACATACAGAGGTTGAGTAAATAGCACTTTTTATTGACTCAAGTTCAGCAGCTGCAGAACTAACAAAAGATGGTATTGTTCATTTGTAAATGTTATTTGAACAGTGGTGGTGATGGTCGTGGGGGTTTTCCTCAGTGTTCTGTCACCCACATTACCATTCACAAATCCATATAGTCAAACATTGCATATGACTGTTAGCAAAGAAACTATATGTTTAAGTGACTGTTCATACAACAAAATGTATTCAAAAGGATCCATTTACACTTGATTTGTAAGTTTAGTGGCTAACCAGAATATGACAAAGCCTGGATCCCATTGGGGATAGTGGTCTATGTGGTATTGTAGCTGTCAGATCAGGCTAGCTTTCCCCAGAGACTCCTTATCTCGCATGTAAACTGATGATGGCAGAAGAGGTCACGCACACATACACATATATACACACATCTCCACCTGTCAGTCCACCAACAAAGACTTTTACTGCCAAGAAAGAAAGATATTGCCTGTTTAAATCCAAATATACATATCAATAAGTTTAATTATGGGCTCAAGTCAGTAATACTGGATCTATTTTGTACTTTCTAATGAATTCGCAATCTGATATTTTAAATTCAGATTGGCATGTGTAATATTAAATATAGTTCTATATTGATTTAACAGTCCTTCTGGCAACAGAGGAGCAGCTATACACAGGGATATAGCAGAGGTATAATGTGTCACTGTATGTTGGCCAGTGTGTTTAAGGGCAGGAATATCCACATCAATAATACATGGCAACGTTATGCAACAAGAATACCTGATGGCAGCTGTTGTCTGTGCCAATGATGGAAAGAGAGATATGCTGCGAAATGAATATACCACTTTTCAATACACGGCAACAATAAAAATGACAAATTAGGAACGTGACATCACACTGATGTTATGCGAAATTACATTATGGGCAGTAAATTTCATTGAAATGGAAGCTGTTATAACGTCAATGGAAAGTTCTAGAAGTTCAAAATGATATTCAGTTTTCTATACTCACTTTTACGTCAATGATGAGTCACCTGCTTTTAAATAGAAACCTATTCAATCAGCAGTGTTAGCGCTGATTAGCTTACATGTGCTGATTTTTTT